CATGCATTCCACTCTATGCTCTTTCTAAGCAGTCCACATCCCTTCTTCAAGGGACACTGAGGTCCCCTCTAACTCTATCTGAGCCCAAGGGAGGATCTATAAACCAGTGCCAGGCCGGGCGCGGTGGCTCACGCTTGTAATCCCAGCACTTTGGGAGGCCGAGGCGGGTGGATCACGCGGTCAAGAGATCGAAACCATCCTGGTCAACATGGTGAAACCCCGTCTCTACTAAAACTACAAAACATTAGCTGGGCATGGTGGTGCATGCCTGTAATCCCAGCTACTCAGGAGGCTGAGGCAGGAGAATTGCTTGAACCCAGGAGGCGGAGGTTGCAGTGAGCCGAGATCGCGCCATTGCACTCCAGCCTGGGTAACGAGCGAAACTCCGTCTCAAAAAAAAAAAAACAAAAAAACAAAAAAAACAAAACCAGTGCCAAAATAATTTCCATGGAGCAAAAAATGTCGATGGCCATGGGCGGTGGCCCACACCTGTATTCTCAGCATTTTGGGAGGCTGAGGCAAGTGGCTCACTTGAGGTCAGGGGTTTAAGACCAGCCTGGCCAACATGGTGAAACCCAGTCTCCACTAGGTAAAAAGAAAAAACACAGTGGTAGCTGGGCATGGTTGTGGGCACCTGTAATTCCAGCTACTCTGGAAGTCGAGGCAGAAGAATTAATAGAATCCGAGAATCAGAGGTTGCAGTCTGCCAGGATCATGTCACTGCCCTCCAGACTGGACAGCAGCAAAATCTGTGGCAAAAATAAATAAATATATGCATATATTTAATGCATTAATCAAATTTAATTAAATTAATATAAATAATGCATATATTTATATGCCTTAAAAAAAAAAACACTACAAATATTAGCCAGGTGTTCCACAGGGTGCCTGAAATTTCAGCTACTTGGAAAGCTAAGACAGGAGATTGAACCCAGGAGGCAGAGGTTACACTGAGCGGAGCCATGGCACAACACTTCAACCTGCATCACAGAACAAGCCTCTGTCCGAAAAAAGAGAACCATCTGAGCCAAAGAGACTTAGGTTGGAAGTGTTATTGTACTCCAGCCTAAGCAACAAAGACCCTTTTTAGAAATCAAAAACAAAACAGAACTATAACATCATCCAAGTCAGATTATAAGAATGCACTGCAAAGTATTATCAAAATCAGCATCGACTTCAACGTTGCTTTTCTCAAACGGTAACACTCTAAAGGGAAGGGGTCTCTTTCTTTTCAGAAAACAGAAAGCACTTCCCTTTGGAGGATCACAGTTTGGGATCTTCTTGCTCCAGGACGCTGGATTCTTTGTTGGAATTTTCCTTGAGCAGGTTAAACTGTAGATAAAAATAAGGATGCATTCATTTGCATCTTTGGCCCTGGTTGCATGCTTTCTGAAATCCGGAACAGAAACATAAGTCCCATCTTTTGTTCACTGTTTCAAAGGCTCAGCAGGTTAGCCTTGCTCATCACAGGGCAATGCTCCTGAGTTTTGTTCCCAAAGCAAGAAAGCAGTGCCCACTACACACACCTTATCTTTAACCATGAGAACTGGGCTGAATTTCTGGTAAAGAGCAATGGATTTGAAGCCAGGTATTCACTTGAGTTCCCGCACACGGACACCCCGTCTCTATGGAAGCATCCAAAATGGAATCTGAGATGGTGAAGAATATGCACTATCATACACACAAACATTCTCCTTTATGAACCACAGGCTAGGCATGAAAGTTTCTGAATAAATGTTTAATAGAACACACAAGGCTGGGCACCTTGGCTCATGCCTATAATAGCCACAATTTGGAGGGCAGAGGCAGATGCATAACCTGAGGTCAGGAGTTCAAAACCAGTCTGGTTAACATGACATAACTCCGTCTCTAATACAAATACAAAAAATTTGGCCAGGTGCAGTGACTTATGCCTGTGATCCCAGCACGTCAGGTGAGCAAATCACGAGGTCAAGAGATTAAGACCATCCTGGCCAACATGGTGAAAACCCATCTCTACTAAAAATACAAAAATTAGCTGGGATTGGTGGTGCGCACCTGTAGTTTCAGCTACTCGCGAGGCTGAGACAGGAGAATCGCTTGAACCTGGAAAGAGGAGGTTGCAATTACCTGAGATCGTACCATTGCACTCCAGCCTGGCCAGAGAGTGAGACTTCGTTCACACCTAAATAGGAAATCATTTGCTGTTCAAGTACATATCAAATACATTGTTTATCTAAAACAAAAATCTAACTGGAGGTGGGCATGAACCAAAAAACAGTCCTTACTTTCTTCACCCCTGTGCATGAGTTAACATTCACATGTGTTTCCATCTATGAAGGATGAGGGAGGGGCAGATGCAGGGGAATGGAACCCTAGCTTAGCCTGGACAGCATAGTGAGACACCCGTATCACGTATTTATCTCCTGGTCACGACCCAAGATTTCAGGTTCCTTTATCCACTAAATACTGAAATCTCACGCATTCCATTTCTATGCTCTTGCTAAGCAGTCTGCATCCCATCTAAAAAGACAGTGAGGTCCCCTCCAACTCTACCTGACTCTAAGTGAGTTCTATGAACCAATGCTAAAATAATTTCCATGGAGGAAAAGGTGTTGATGGCCATGAGCGGTGACTCACACCTGTATTCTCAGCACTTTGGGAGGCCGAGGCAAGCGGCTCACTTGAGGTCAGGGGTTTGAGACCAGCCTGGCCAACAGGGTGAAAACCAGTCTCCTTAAAAAAAAAAAGCAAGTAGCTGGCATGGTAGCAGGTGCCTGTAATTCCAGCTACTCTAGAGGTTGAGGCAGGAGAATTAATTGAACCTCAGAGGCAGAGGTTGCATTCAGCCGGGATCATGTCACTGCCCTCCATCCTGGGCAACAGCTAGACTCGTCTCAAAAATAAATAAATAAATGAATTCTATATAAAACTACGAGTATTAGCCAGGTATTGCGGTGGGCGCATGAAATCCCAGCTATTTGGAAAGCTGAGATAGGAGAATCACTTGAACCCAGGAGGCATAGGTCACAGTGAGCGGAGGCCTGGAACTGCACTCTGGTCTGGGTCACAGGGCAAAACTCTGTCCAATAAAACAGGACCATTTGAGCCCAAAGGACCTAGGTTGGAAGTGCCACCACACTCTAGTCTAGGCAACAAAGACATGATCTTACAAAACAAAAACAGTACAGAATCTCAACATCATCCAAGTGTGATTATAAGCATGCTCTGCAAATGTATTACCCAAAATCAGCACCAACTTCAACGCTGCTTTTCTCGAACGGTAACACTCTAAAGGGAAGGCCTTTGTATTTTCTCACACAACAGAAAGCACTTCCCTTTGGAGGGTCACAGTTTGGGATATGCTTGCTCCAGGACTCTGGGATTTTTGTTGGAATGTCCTTTCACCAGGTTAAAATGGACACAAAAATAAAGATGCATTTATTGGCCCTGTTTGCACGTTTTCTAGAAGCCAGAACATAAACCCCTAAAAAGACCATCTCTAGTACCTTGATTCAAAGGATCAGCAGGTTAGCCTTGCTCATCAGAAGGTAGTCTTTCTGCGTTTTGTCCCCAAAGAGAAAAAGCAATGCCCACTAGGCATACCTTATCTTCAATCAAGAGAATTGGGCTGGATTTCTAGAGAAAAGCAATGGATGTTGAGCCAAGTGTTCACTTGAGCTCCAGCACAGGGACACACAGTCCCAATGAAAGCCGCCAAAATAGAAAATGTTGAATAACATATATTTTTGCATACATAAACATCCTCCAGCAGAGACCAGAGTGTCGGCTGACTCAAGAGGACCACCTGATGCTAGGTGTGGCAGCTCATGCCTGTAATCCCAGCACTTTCAAAGGCCAACGTGGGTGGATCACCTGAGGTTGTGAATTTGAGACCAACCTGGCCAACATGGTAAAACCCCATCTCTACTAACAACACAAAAAGTAGGTGAGTGTGGTGGTGGGTGCCTGTAATCCCAGCTACCTGGGAGGCTAAGGCAGGAGAACTGCTAGAACCCGGGTGGTGGAGGTCCCAGTGGCACAAGATGACACCATTGGACTCCAACCTGAGCAACAAGAGCAAAACTCCATCTCAANGAAAAAAAAAAAAAAATAAAAGGGCCGGGGCATGATGGCTCATGCCTGTAATCCTAGCACTTTTGGAGGCCAAGGCAGGCAGGTTGCTTGAGCCCAGGAGTTTGATGCCAGCCTGGCAATATGGCAAAACCTGGCCTCTACAAAATATATAAAAAATAGCTGGGCTCGGTGGTGCACATCTGTGCTGTAGTCCCAGTGGCTCAGGTGGCTGAGGTGGGAGGATCACTTGAGGCCAGAGTGAGCTGTGGCTAAACCACTGCACTCCAGCCTGGGCAACAGAATGAGATCCCATCTCAAAAAATATTTTTTTAATTTGAAATAATTTTAGGTTTAGAGAAAAGTTGAAAAATGGAAAAAAAAAAAAAACCAAAAAAACCCCACAAAACCCAGAACTCTCATTTACCCTTAACCTGGATTTCCCAAATGCTAACTCTTACCACTCTTGCTACACCATTCTAGTTCTTGGAAACATTTAAAGCATGTGAAACATTTAAAACATTTAGGTTGCAGGCTTTCAGCTGCACGTCCTTTACTTCGAAATGTTTCAGTGTGTTTTTCTTGAAAAAAAATTCAAAAAGTTCTCATACCACAGTAACATGATCAAAATTGGAAAATCAACATTGATTCAGTAATACGATCTACAATCAAGTTTTTCTCCAAATCCTTGGGTCTCAGCATTTGATAAAAGCTTCACAGATGATTTCAGTGGATATTAGGGACCTATGTCGCCTCCTCTGGCAGAGCAGGACTGAGGGGTGCACCCTACCTGAGACGACCCAACAATTTAGGGTGGAGTTATCAGGGCACCCTGACTGCTGGGGCACTTTTGTGTGACAGAAAAAGACAGTGCTCCTGAGTGAGATGGCAGCTGGCTTGGCAAAGGGACAGCACCTTTGTCACAATGTCATGTCCCTGTACCCTATATGCTGCACCTACACCCAAGACCAATGGTCACTGAGGCAGAGGGGACAGGAGGGCCTGGGATAGCAAGTCTGCCCTCCTCGGTGGCTCATGTGTTCTTCATTTCCACCCTGCGAGAGTCTGTGCTGGACACTGGAGTTGGGGGAGGAGCCGGTTACAAGCAGGGGAGCAAACTGTCTGTACCACACTCCATGATCCCAGCTGCTAACATCCACACTGAGCCCTACTTACCAGCCTTCTTCTCTCCTGCTGGAACCTCCTCTGTACTCAGACCAGCAGCCTCAGCACCATCCGACACTGGTAAGAAATGCAGATTCTCAGGCCTCATCCCAGGCCTATTGAATCAGGAATTCTGGAGTGGAGCCCTGCAGCCTGCATTTTAACCAGCCCTGCAGGTGCTTCTGATGCATGCTCAGGTTTGAGCACCGCTGGCCACAGGGAGGTCGAGGCAGGGCCCAGGGTCAATTCCACCCTCCTCTGGTTGAATAGCTGCCGTTTAGGCAAAATGGTTTGACATTGAATCAAGGACATTATGAGCCAGAATTTTAAATATGCCTGTAAAAAAAACTGAGAGAGGGAGGGGGTTCAACCTTTGAGTTATTTCATTTGTCTATATATAGCTGGAGAGTTGGGAATATCAGTAAGTGCTTCCAATGCACCTGCTACATGCCCCACAAAAGAAACAAGAAGACGAAGTAGGTCTGAGAAAGTGATGGGGTGAGTGGAAACCCAAAGCCCCTAGAAGGCTATCCAAGTAGCCCCTCAAGCAGGTGAGCTGGCTTTAGGGTTTATTGAAGGAGGCAGAAACCTCAGCCGTCAGCTGCTTCCCGTCCGAGTTGTTAGAGGAGTCATTTAGAAAGCTCTACCATTCTTTCAATATTCTCACTGCCTTCCAGTGCTTATGGATCAAAAAATGCCTTGGCTGTATGTGTAAGAAAACAACAATGCAAGTTTGTAGAGAAAGAATCTGGGCCTTCTAGGTCAGGTGGGTTTAAAACTCAGACATCAAGCATCTTAGAGACCATGTAGCCAAACGAGCTTAGTAAATGCTTTTCAATGCTTACGGAACTGTGGCGCTTTGTACTTGCTGTAGTGCCTGTATAATTAGACAAATGAAATAACTCAAAGTTTGAACCCCCTCCCTCTCCTAATTTTTTTTTTTTACAAGCAGATTTAAAATTCTGGCTCATAATGTCCTTGATTCAATGTCAAACCATTTTGCCTAAATGGCAGCATGTTCTAAATGTGAGTGCGCTCAGCTTTTCAAGCTGCTTCCGAATAACAGAAAATTGACAAGCTGTCATTCAAGACCTTTTCATAGCTGCCTGAGGCTCTGTTTAAATTGTATCTGTCTGATACTTTACCAGGAAGAGTGGAAAATTTAATCACATGTCATGCTTTTAATTTTCTAAAGCAAGTATGTTGGAAGGGAACCAAGTAATGCAAAGCTGAACTGCTGGTCTCATGCAACCAATTAGGGGAAGGGTTAGCCTAAACTAATAAAAGATCTGAACTCTAGATCTTAGCAAATACATAGACTTTAAGAGTTTAAAAGGAAACTGAGCAGCAGCAGGCCTGGGATTGGCTTTTCAGTATCCTTATTTAACTAATGGACATGAAAGTTTTATGATTTGATATCAGGAGTGCTAGCACTGGAGTCTCTGAGCCTACTCTGGCCCAGGAGGCTGCCCTACTTCAAAAACAAGAAACAAGAAAAAAAGAAATGCTAGTTCTGTAATTCTAGAGTGCTTCAGAAATTCTCGAAAATAGCCCGTGTGCAGTGGCTCACGCCTGTTATCCCAGCACCTTGGGAGGCCAAGGTGGGCGGATGACTTGAGGTCAGGATTTCGAGACCAGCCTGGCTAACATGGTGAAACCCCATCTCTACTAAAAATACAAAAATTAGCCAGGCATGGTGGCGTGCGCCTGTAATCCCAGCTACTTGGGAGGCTGAGGCAGGAGAATTGCTAGAACCCGGGTGGTGGAGGTTACAGTGAGGCAAGATCGTACCACTGTACTCCAGCCTGGGCAACAGAGTAAAAACTCCATCTCAGAAAAAAACAAAACAAAAAAAAAAAAAAAAAAAAAAAAAAAAAAAAAAGATTAGCTGGCTGTGATGGCAGCTTCCTGTGTTTCCAATTATTCGGCAGGCTCAGGTGGGAGAATCCCTAGAACCTGGAAGGTGGAGCTTCCGGTGAGCAGAGAACCTGCCACTGCACTTGAGCCTGGGCAACGAAGCCAGAGTGGGTTTCAAAAAATAAATAAATAAACCACTTGAGCCCTAGAGATCTCCCTGGAAGTACCACCCACTCTAGGCTCAGCACAGAGAGACTGTCTTGGAAAAACAAAAACAAAACAGAACCTCACCATCATCCACGTCTGATCATAAGCACGCTCTGCAGATGTACTACCAACATCAGCATCAACTTCAATGTTGCTCTTCTCAAACAGTAATCATCTAAAAGGACATGCGTTTTTTTCTTTCTGACAACAGATGGCACATCCCTCTAGAGTGTCACAGCATAGGAGCTTCTTGCTCCAGTACTCTGGGGTTTTTTGTTGGAGGTTTCTTTGACCACATTAAGCTGGACACAAAAATAAAGATGCATTCATCTGCGTCTTTGGCGCTGTCTACACGTTTTCTGGAATCCAGAACACAAACACCTAAAAGGACCATCCTTTGTTCCAAAGGTTCAGCAGGTTAGCCTTGTTCACAAACGGCTAATGCTCCTGAGTTTTGTTTCCAAAGAGAAAAAGTAATGCCTACTAGACATACATTATCTTTACCCATAAGCATCGCCTGAATTTCTAGAGAACAGCAATGGATTTTGAGCCAAGTGTTCACCTGAGTTGCAGTACAGGGACACACAGTCCTTATGGAAGCATCCAAAATAGAATCTAAGATGTCGAAGAATATACATTGTCATACACACAAACATCCTCCAGTATAGACCACAGGCTAAGCATAAAAGTTTCTGAATACATTTTGAACCGAAATCCACAAGATCGGGATGATGGCTCACACCTGTAATCACCACACTTTGGAAGGCAGAGGCGAATGCATCACTTGAGGTCAGGAGTTGTAATCTGGCCTGGTTAACGTCCTGAAACCCCCTGTACTAAATACAAAATATTTGGCTGGACTCGGTGGCTGATGCCTGTAATCCCAACACTTTGGGTGGCCCAAATGAGTGAATTACAAGGTCGAGACATGGAGACCATTGTGGACAACACGGTGAAACCACGTTTCTACTAAAAATACAAAAATTAGCTCGGCATAGTGGTGCGCACCTGTAGTTTCAGCTCCTCGGGAGGCTGAGGCAGGAGAATCGCTTGAACCTGGGAAGCAGAGGGTGTAATAAGCTGAGATCCCGCCATTGCACTCCAGCCTGACAACAGAGCAAGATTTCGTCGACACCTAAACAAGAAGTCATTTGTTGTTCAAGTATATCGTAAATACATTATTTATCTAAAATATACATTTAACTGGGGGTGGGGCATGAACCAAAGAACAGTCCTTTCTTTCTTCTTGCCTGTGCATGGGTTCATATTCACATGTGTTCCCATCTACGCAAGATGGGGGAGGGTGGAGGCAGGAGGATCTAACCCTAGTTTAGCCTGGGCAGCATAGTGAGACCCCCATTTCACACATTTATCTCCTGGTCACACACCCAAGGTTTCAGTTTCATTTACCCAGTAAATACTGAAACCTCATGCATTCGACCTCTGTGCTCTTGCTAAGCAGTCCACATCCCTTCTTCAAGGGACACTGAGGTCCCCTCCAACTCTACCTGAGGCCAAGGGAGGTTCTATAAGCCAGTGCCAAAATAATTTCCCTGGAGTAAAAAATGTTGATGGCCACAGGTGGTGGCTCACACCTATATTCTCAGCACTCTGGAAAGTCGAGGTGAGTGGCTCACTTGAGGTCAGGGGTTTGAGACCAGCCTGGCCAACATGGTGAAATCCGGTCTCTGCTACACAAGCAAACAAATAAAAATACCAAAAAGTAGCTGGGCATGGTGATGGGCACTTGCAATTTCACCTACTCTGGTGGTTGAGTTAGGAGAATTAATTGAACCCGAGAAGCAGAGGTTGCAGTCAGCTGGGATCGTGCCACTGGCCTCCAGCCTGGGTGATGGCAAGACTCCATCTCATTCATCCATTCATTCATAAATAAATAATAATAAAAATGCATATATTAGTTGGGCATCTGTCAGATGCCTGTATTCCCAGCTACTCAAGAACCTGAGGCAGGAGAATCACTTGAACCCAGGAGGCAGAGGTTGCAGTGAGCCAAGATCATGCCACCGCACTCCAGGCTGGGTCACAGAGCAAGACTCTGACCCAAAAAAGAGGATCATTTGAGCCCAAGAGACCTAGGTTGGGGGTGCCACTGTACTCCAGCCTGGGCAACACAGACCCTGTCTTAGAAAACAAAAACAAAATAGAACCTGAACATCATCCAAGTCTGACTATAAGCTTGCTCTGCAAATGTATTACCAAGATCAGACCCAACCTCAATGTTGCTTTTCTCGAACGGTAACACTCTAAAGGGAAGGCATTTCTTTCTTTTCAGACAACAGAAAGTACTTCCCTTTGGAGGGTCACAGTATGAGATCTTCTTGCTCCAGCAGTCTGGGATTTTTGTTGGAATTTCCCTTGACCAGGTTAAAATGGACACAAATATAAGGAGGCATTTATTGGCCGTTTGCATGTTTTCCGGAAACTAGAAAAAAACCCTAGAGGACCATCTCTAGTTTCTTCCTTCAAAGGCTCAGCACGTTAAGCCTTGTTCATCAGGTAATAATCTTTCTGAGTTTTGTCCCCAAAGAGAAAACGTAATGGCAACTAGACATACCTTATCTTTAACCAAGAGAATTGGGCTGGATTTCTAGAGACCAACAATGGATTCTGAGCCAAGTGTTCACTTGAGTTCCGGCACAGGGACACGCCATCTCTATGGAAGTATCCAAATGGAATCTAAGATGTTGAAGAATATACATTGTCGTACACACAGACATCCTCCAGTATAGACCACAGGCTATGCATAAACGTTACTGAATAAATTTTTTTTTTTTTTTTTTTTTTTTNAGGCCGAGCATGGTGGCTCACGCCTGTTATCCCCCAGCACTTTGGGAGGCCAAGGCAGGTGGATCATGAGGTCAGGAGTTTGAGACCAGCCTGGCCAACATGGTGAAACCCCATCTGTCCTAAAAATACAAAAATTAGCCAGGCGTGATGGCAGGCATCTGCAATCCCAGCTACTCGGGAGGCTGAGGCAGGAGATCACTTGAAACCAGAAGGCAGAGATTGCAGTGAGCCGAGATTGCGCTACTGCGCTCTAGCCTGGGGGAAAGAAGGAAACTCTGTCTCACAGAAAAACCAAAAAGTATACTAATGAATCTATTTTTTTTTTTTCAATCTATCATCCAGACTGCAGCAAGGTGATTCTGCCAAAATATATCTCATTAAAAGCCAACTGGAGCTTTTCATCACCATCAATGTGCAGCCCAAAGTCCTTAGGAGGACAAAGGGAGTCCCCCACAACCTGGACCGGCCTCCTTCCCTCCAGCTGCCTTGGCTGCCCACAGGACCCTCTTCCCGCCTGCGGCCACAGTGCGCAACTTGGAATTTCCCCACCTGCGTAGACTCATGACGTCACCACCAACTGCATGCTGCTTCTGCTCTGTTCAGCTGGTGAAATCCTCTCAACCCTTGAGATGCAGCCCAATCTCCTCCTAACATCTGGATTCCTCTCCGTCACCGCATTCCTGCCTGTCATCCTGCCTTTGTTTTCTTACCCTCCGCTCTCTCCCGAGTGATGGACACTTACTTAAAATTAAATAAAAATTCAGAACCTCCTTGGACTTGTTGCATTTCAAATGCTTGGCAGTCACATGTCATTAGCGGCTACCCTCTTGGACAGCACAGACAGAGAATATTTCCATCATCACAGAAAATTCTAGACTTGGAGCTTCTTGAGGACAGGGGATCAATCACTGACACTGCTTTACAGTAACTAGCAGTGGCTACTCTGTAGCAGGGGCTCAGGAAATTTCTCCTGAACTGAACCCCACTGAACTGATGTAGGCTTGTCATCAGGGTGTACCTGCTGTTAAAGGAGGTTGTGACCTCTGATGCTGGGGTGGCCAGAGAGGATGGGAGTGGGCCTGGCACTTGGAGGAAAGGAGACAAAGCCATCTGCAAAGTCATCTTTTACCTGCTGGCATGGCCCCAGCCAGGGCTCTGTTGCTACAGGAGAATGGGTGAGTAGGAATGGATTCTACCACCCTGGATCTAGAGGACAGCCTGTCTTGAGGGGCATGGGGGATGCTGGAAGTCAGGGTAAGAAGCTTGGACTTTATCCTACCGGCATTGAGAGCCCCTGGGAATTACTGAGTAGTGGAGTGATAGGATAAGCTTATAGGAAGAGCCAAAATTATTAATACAGCTCCTTAGAGCTTAGATCCTGTGACTTAGGAAAGGCAATATGAGCCCCTGAGCATTCTGGGGGGTCCTTTGTACATCTGGAAGAACAGAGGCCCGAAGTGGGAAACCGTCCTCCTCCTGGGCAGCACAAACATGGCTGCTCCATTCCTATTCAGAAGCCTCATTTCCTGATTAAGGCTCTGGCAGCTGTGGTGTTTCACTGTTCATTATTCATGAATAGACTTGGCCCTGTTCAAAACTAAAGATTCAATGCTACAAATGAAGGCTGCAGAGAGGATGTTGGGGAACTCGCCTGTCTGGCTTCAAAACTGCCCCCTTTTCTCTGGAAAAATCCCCTCTAGAATACTGTGCCAAGGCCTGGTGAGTGAAAAATGAGTTTTCACGATGTATCAAAAGAAAAATGCATCTTTTAAGAAACCATCTTTGTAAATGGCAGTAGATGGGGAAGAATCTAAAAGAGAGAACAACACTTGCAGGTTGAAAGCATTATGTCCAGATGTGGAGACGTTAGGACTAAGGGAAGGTGGGTGATGGGTCTTACCATTTCCTTCTTCATCTGCCCACCAATGGATGCACGCAGGCGCACACAGCAACAGCCTCCCAGGTGGACAGTCCAGGGAGCCCACAGCGCTTCTGGCACAGGACTTTGATTTCTCTCAGTTTCAGAGGATTTCTTGAGGCCCCTCTGTAGAGCTGTGTGTCTTTGTCATAATCCGTGCCTGGGTCAGAGCAGCTGGGTTGAGCTGCACTCACAGCTGGGAGATGATCCTGTGATCTCGTGGGTGGCCCTTCAAGGTTGCTCTTTCTAAAACCTTGGGTATTGCAAATTCTGCTTCTTAGGGACACTTTGGCCCCTGAGTCCTGCCCTTGTTGTCTCTCTTGCTGATGAAGCCAGCAGCATGGCTCTCGGGGTAGCACTGTCTTCCTTCTCAAGAATAGCCAGGTGGCCCCATGGCTTGCACTTACTGGTCCCTGTGGTTACAAATGGTTCATCTAGGCTGTGAACCATCGCAGGAGTGGGTCCAGTTCAGCAGACAGTTCCTCGGGGGAATTTAGTAGCTGAGGGTCCCACTGAGTCTCCATCACCCTGTCACCCATTCTCCACCCCCTCCCCTACCACACATACACTCTACTCCCCCAGTGCTGGATAAATTGTCACGGCACTGTGATGGCACTGGGATGCTTGGGAGTGAAGAAGTCGGGGCTTCTGCCCTGGGGAAGAGGTGATGAGGGCATGAACAGCAGGGCAGAGGGTGGGAGGCAGAGGAAAGGGCACTGAGTGGGGGCACGAGGATTGAGGAGGAGCCTGCTAGATGGACGACGAGACCTAGCACTGACCAAATAGAACTTTGTGGGTGGCACATCAGTCACTCCAGGGAGATGTGCAGTCACTGCCATTTTCCTAATGAAACTCCTCCAGTTATTAAACAAAGGCCCAGAGTCACAGACTTTAGGGCCAGAAGTGGGATTTGAACCTAAGTCCTACAGATGACAGGGTTCCCACCTGCTTCTCTAGGTCACACTAGCCCATGCTGGAGGGAAGGAGGGGTGTTTCAGGAAGAGGGAGGACGCAGGCAAAGGCACAGAGACCTTAAGTAGAAAGCTATGTTCCAGAAAATGCACGTTATTCAGCACTGGGGGAGAAGAGTGTATGTGCGGTGTGGGAGGGGTGGCGAATGGGTGAGAGGTGGTGCAGACTCAGTGGGACCCCCAGCTACCTAATTCCCCGACAGAGAAAGAGCTTAGAAACTTCCCCCACCTCCCGCAAAGCAGTGGGGAAGCTGCCGCCACACTTGTTTTCGGTCCCCTCATTCCCTGTGCAGTCTGGCCGCTCCGGGGGAGGATGGGGCTTGCAGGCAGGCTGGTTTAGGATGTGTCCTGGCTCGATCACTCAATTTGTGGCGCGACATTCAGGGGAGTCACCCTTTCTGGCCTTAGTTTTCTCCTCTGTAAAATAAGGGAAAATAAGTTTTCTCCTCTGTAAAATAAGGGAACTTATTTTCGACAAAAATAAGTTCTCACCAATTTATTCGCCACCACATGCCCTTTTAATTCCATCTGCCCTAGGACTGCAGTGGGGAGTATTTCTTTGCTGATGGATTTTGAAAATCATCACCACTGCCTTTTTGTGGTTAAACACAGCTAGCCAGGAACTCAAGGCTTCTCATCAGCAGAGGCCTCTGCCTTTCCAGTATCCAGGGCTGAATGGATTCTGGGTCAAGGCCTCCCTCCCGCAGCCATGAGGCCCTGGCTTGATGGAATGTCGCTTCGGAGTCCAGGGAGCCAGCATGGGGACCCTGACAGCTTTTCCCATGCCCTAGGCTGCTGGGCCTCGCTGCAGGATTCCTCTGGACCTTGAACATTAACAAGGCTCATATTTGGAAGGTGCTTGGAGAGGGCTTATAAGTATTTGGAGGTTACTTTTTAAACTATTTTTATTGGAAAAGTAGCATGTGTACAAGAGAACAACCCAAATACAGAAAAATATTAAACTTCCCAAGCCTCCAGCCCCCTCCCATGCTACTGTATCCCCAGGTTAGCTCTGTCGGCCCACCCGGCCCTGGGTGCCTCTGCCCAGGGTCAGGGTGGAGATTTGAGGGCTGGGGGTGAGGGCTGGGCGAACCGCCTCCTCTCAGGTCTTTGGACAAGAGCTATACCCATTTGCGCTGCGTGGACCCAGGACTACTGCCCACAGGCCTGGCCCTGCCTGGGCACCCAGACCCACCTCCAGGGTCGCCCTCGGCCCTCCCGATGACTCAGACTCGCGTCTGTCCCAAAGGATGCACCAAAGATTCTCCAGTGAGAAATCAAATTTTTGATAACAAAAGTGTTTTAAAATAATTACGCACGTGGTGAAAAACTCAAACAGTAGAAAGCCCCTTTCTCATCTGAGTCTGCCCCACCCCCGCCAGTTACAAGCTTCCCAGCCGCTTCCTGAGCTCTCTGCGTGTACGGACACGCGTCCCACCCACAACAACTTTTTAAAAGAATCAGACGCGTGAAGGATTCCATTCGAATCACTTCTGCTCTCTGCTTTTCTCACTTTACTGTGGGTCGGGCGAGGGCTTTCTGCCAGCGACACGGACGCCGCCTTCATACCGCCGCACAAGCCCCGCAGTCAGGGTTCCGCATGCGGGGTACCGGGGGCAGGCCCAGCGCGTAAGCGGGGTCCGCGGTGCCGCCAACGCCCCGGGTCTGCGCAGCGGCCCCGGCAGTCCCTGCCCCGCCCAGTCCGAGCCTCCCGGGCGGGCCCCGAGCCGGGCGATTCGCAGTAACTGTCCCGGGCTCTCCCGCGCGGAGCCGCCACAGGGCCCCCTAACAAAGTTCCTTTAGTTTTAAGGACGCGAATCGCGGCGAGAGAACCCGCGGAAAGTGAATAGGTGGGGCGCGCAGACGGGGAAACTGAGTCCCGCGAGAGGGCGGGTCTGGGCGCTGCCCCGCCCGCGCCCCGTGAGCTCCACCGTGCCCGGATGCGCCCGCCCTGCCCCCGCCGCGGGCCGTCCCGGTCCAGCCGCCCGCCCTCCCGCCATCCGGCCGGCCCCCCCCGGGCGCAGTGCCCGTCCCCAGGGCGGCTCGTCACCGCAGCGAGGCCAATGGGCTGGGCTGCGCGGCCGCGCGCACTCGCACCCGCTGCCCCAGAGGCCCGCCCGCACTCTCCCCGGCGCCGCTCTCCTGTCCTCGCCCTGCCCGCCGCCACCAGAGTCGCCATGCAGACCCCACGCGCCGCGCTCCTCCCGTTGTTGCTGCTGCTGGTGGCGCCCACCTCGGCGCAGCTGTCCCGGGCCGGCCGCTCGGCGCCTTTGGCCCCCGGAACCGCCGCCGGGTGCCCCGAGCGCTGCGAGCCGGCGCGCTGCCCGTCGCCGCCGGAGCACTGCGAGGGCGGCCGGGTCCGGGACGCATGTGGCTGCTGCGAGGTGTGCGGCGCGCCCGAGGGCGCCGCGTGCGGCCTGCAGGAGGGCCCGTGCGGCGAGGGGCTGCAGTGCGTGGTGCCCTTCGGGGTGCCGGCCTCGGCCACGGTGCGGCGGCGCGCGCAGGCCGGCCTCTGCGTGTGCGCCAGCAGCGAGCCGGTGTGCGGCAACGACGCCAACACCTACGCCAACCTATGCCAGCTGCGCGCCGCCAGCCGCCGCTCCGAGAGGCTGCGCCAGCCGCCGGTCATCGTCCTGCAGCGCGGCGCCTGCGGCCAAGGTACTCCGCCGCACGTCTGGGCAGCTCCCCACTCTCTCCATCGTAGCCCGGACAAGCTTCTGCGGTACCGGCGGGCAAGCCGAGGGGCAGCGAAGCGTCGCAGGGTGGCCAGGGCAACTCTCGGGGACAGGCAGGTGGGCCCGGGGAGGACAGCTTTCCGCGGGCTGCCTCGAAACCAAGCTTTAAGCCCAGCCCGGGACCGGTTCCGCGCCCCGACGATGCCGG